TTTTTAAGTTTTATGAAAATTTCTGTAAACCTAATGCATAAGTTTTGTTTTTTTTAGAACAAAGCCACATTGGGCTATCTGCTGTGTCCATCGCGGGAAATCGAACCCCGGATTTTAGCATTGTAAGTCCTTAAATTTACCGCTGACCACCGCGAGACCATACAGAAGAAACTGGGGAATTTGGTTTGTTGATTTCTAATTAAGCTACACGACGTGTGCTCTGCCCGCCACGGGTATCGAAACCCAATTTCGAGCGTTGTAAGTCCGCAGATGTACCGTTGTGCCACTGAGGGGGGGGGGGACAAGGAATTTGAACGAACACGACATCATTATCTGGATAATTGTTTATTAATCACGTATAAGTTTCATTTCAATCTCGTTTGTAATAAATCTATAAATAGTTCTTGTCTACATCATTTAAGTTTCGATTAGGCCTCGCATAAAGTGTTTCGTTTGTTGCTCTGTTACTTTGAGAACTTCTATACAGATTTAGGGCTATAATTTCTAAATAGAGTAAATGACTATGAACGTACTGTTTAATTAAAACCCGTTTGTTTAATTAAAACTTGTGTAGAGTAATTAATTGATCAGTGTATTTACTGATCAACAAAAATTTAAACTAGAACACTGATGACGAGACCATCCAGTCCAGGGGTCACCAAACTTTTTTCACAGCGGGCCAGATAACTGAAAGAATGACGAGCGCGGGCCGCATAACCATTTTGTTCAATACAATACAGTGAATACACAAAAAATAAAGACAACAAACATGTTTATTTTCCAAAAAGTTATCAAAGAAGGCGATGTCAGCAATAAGATAGTTATATCACACCCAGTGCGCACATATCCGAATCTCACAAACTAAGCAGCAAAAAAGGTTTGTGAGATTTGTGAAACAGGCGTTTAGCTTTAGAGATATCATCAATATTTGCTTTGGAATTGCTGCATTCAACCAAGAGAACTGCTTTCAAATGTTCATCAGTCAACCTCGTTCGATGTGCTGACTTCACGTACTTCATTTTTGAAAATGTTTGCTCACAGACATAAGTTGTTCCAAACACTAGAAAAGTATAGCCTGGAAGATAGCTTACAAATTACACCGTTCACCAGTATAGCTTACAAATTACACCGTTCACCTTCCAGGCTATACTCAGAGAAGTGTTGGTCGATTGGTGATATTTTCATTTCGACGTCTTCACCACATACTATTGAGTATTGTTAATAGTCTGCTTGTCGTTTCCATAGTTACCTGGTTTGTAATTTTTCTGTTACACTATCAGAGCCGTGTCTGTAATAAAGATTCACGTACGTTGTGAGATATACATCTATTACGTATGGAGTAACTAGGAAGTAGAAATGACAAATCTAAACCTGATATATGCATGATCATTTATTGACTTTTAATATTTCAGACGGTTTTGAAGGATACGTCTGGGCCTCTACACACTGAATATTTTCTTATACCTGTGTGAAGGAACTAAAACTTTAAAAGTAACAATGGAAATATTTACCAAACATTTTACCCGGCAAGGCAACTTGGTGAAAGTAACATACGCTCCCTAAAGTGATAGAGGTTTCTTATGAATCCACCCGACTCCCCGAGTTGGGGTTTAAATAAATACTACGACAGTAAACCACGTAGTTCTTCCCATCGAAGAGAATGCCAAACAAATAATGTAGATGTTTTTTTGGACAAACATGATTGGCTCGTTAAAGAGGACACAGATTTTTTTTTCTTTCCCTTTCTTTCTTTTTTTTGGGGGGTGGGGGGGGTGGGGTGGGTGGGAATGAAATATGGTATATACGAAATGCGTCTCAAAGTTTTTTTTTCAAATGAATTATAACATTAAACTGAGAATCAACGTTTCTGTATTGTTTTACTTCTGTGTAATTAAAATAACATTTGAAGATATTTTCGGGCCTATTGTCTTTTTATCTTTTTAGCATCACAGTTTGAATTTATTCTTCTCAAAGTTTTGAAAATGTTAAATATTGTGAGCTGAAAAAAAAAAAAGACTGAGCTTTTCAACTCTAGGCACACCTGGTGGACTGTTGACTGTCAGAATCGGCCCGGCATGGCCAGGTGGTAAGGGCGCTCGACTCGCAATCTGCGGGTTGTGGGTTCGAATCCCCGTCCCACCAAACATGCTCGCCCTTTCAGCCGTGGGGGAATTAATAATGTGACGGTCAATCCCACTATTCGTTAGTAAAAAGAGTAGCCCAAGAGTTGGCAGTGGGTGGTGATGACTAGCTGCCTTCCCTCTAGTCTATCACTGCTAAATTAGGGACGGCTAGCGCAGATAGCCCTCGTGTAGTTTTGCGCGAAATTCATAAAAAGACTGTCAGAATCACATAAGAGAATGATAGCAGTACCCTCTAGTGGCATTAAATGACATTATTTATGTTTTTAAGTAATTGGTACGAAAGTTCAAATCACAAACATTACTGCGAGGCCTAATATTCGTGATATAAACCATGCTAGACTGTAGATTCTTATAATTATTATATTAATGTTCATTTTGTAGCGTCCTTTGATTGAAAACAAGGGACTATATGTTTCTGTCTCTTATTGCCTCCTAGCAACTGTTAGTAAATAAGCACCTTTTAATTTTCTAAGAAACTAATTGTTTGACTACGACCATGGTATATTTGTCGTCTGCTATACAAAAACCACCGTTAACCATGTTCAGGTTTGCCGCTATTTCATCATTGTAGCTTCTTATTTCTGGTAATAGATGGCAGGCCTAATGTTCAACAGAAGAGTTGCTAATATTTATTCTGCTTACTTTTTAGAATAATACTTAACATTACTATAGTACTCTCATTAATATCATAAATGACTAACTAATAAAGTCAAGGACTATTAGTGTCAAATAATTCTTACAATGATTAAGTTAACTGTCTACTCCACGTTGTTATTCGTGTTTCTATTGGCAAAATGGATAATAAAAGGTCTGATTATTAGCTGCCCCCCCCCCCCCAGTGGCACAGTGGTATGTCTGCGAACTTACAACGCTAGAAACCGGGTTTCGATACCCGTGGTGGGCAGAGCACAGATAACCCATTGTATAGCTTTGTGCCTGATGTTTAGCATCCCTCCCTTTGAACAGCATCCCAAAATAGGTTTTGATTAGACTACCTTCAGAAAACTGTCTCCAATTTGAAACTGATATACTAGAATAAAGGCAGCTAGTAAAATTACCTACCGCCAACTATTGGGCTACTCTTATCCGACCGAATAGTGGGATTTACTATAACCTGTTATCCTCTTCACCCAGAAACTTCTGTATTAGCAATGACAGAACCTAGAGTCCGAAAATAATGTGTGTCAAAAATGTGATAAGCATTCATAGGATCATAAATTACGAAAATATTTCATGAAACTATGGAAACAATCAAACACTGCCGTAAAAGCTGGAATATATATTTCTGTTTAGGATTTCTTTTTTTCTTTATGGCCCCCTAGTGTCACAGCGGTATGTTTGCGGATTTACAACATAAATAAAGAAATAAATAATCACCAGAACATTTGACCAAACAAAACAGTATATAGCGCAAAAACGTATACTTGTTTGACTCGTAAATAAAGTTTGTGATTGATTGAATAAAAAGTTCTCTTTGTTTTATAAGTCTCCGAGTTATTGTCGGTGTATTCGCAGGATACACAACCCACGGACAACCTTTTGATTCGAAGAGGTTGTCCTTCCACACCCATCCTTAGGAGGAGTAAAAATTGAAACTCACTTTTTACTTAAATAGAAGTAATTGATTTCTCTCTTAAGTTCCCGTAAAGCACCAGCTTCCACTATTGCTGTCAGTAACTCATTCAATAAGTTTATAACCTTTATAACAATGTTAGAAAAATAAAACTGTGTTGTTTGTTTTGAATTTCGCGCAAAGCTACACGAGAGCTATCTGCACTAGCAGTCCCTAATTTAGCAGTGAAAGGCAACTATTCATCACCACTCACCGCCAACTCTTGGGCTACTCTTTTACCAACGAATAGTGGGATTGACCGTCACATTATAACGCCCCCACGGCTGAAAGGGCGAGCATGTTTGGTGGGACGGGTATTCGAACCCGCGACCCTCAGATTGTGAGTCGAGCGCCTTAACCACCTGCCCATGCCGGGCCAAAACTGTCTTAACCGTAGCCTAGCCTATGTTTTCCACATCTTAAACTAGTGATCTTTTGTCTTATCATCTCCAGAATATAGCACAAAGAAACCAGAGGCCTTAATCCTATTGATTCCCGGATAATCTTGTAAACTTCACTATAATCATTTTTTACTCTTCTTTTCTCAACAGAAAATAAGTCAGGAAATCTTAACGTGTCCCTATAAAATAACCCTACCTTTCTCGGAATCATCATAGGAGTCTTTCTCTAAACCCTTTCCAATAAGTCAATATGACCAAGAACGTCAGTCATGTTAATGAGTCGGTTCTCTACTGTGTTAAACGCATGGCGGGCAGTGTTTATAAGAATAGAGAACTAAGATGATATGAGTTATTAAAAAGTGCCTAACTAAATGGTTAGCTCAGTAATTCAGTTGGTGTGCGAGATTTTCTGGATTCACTAACGAGCCACATTGGGTTATCTGCTGTGTCCACAGCGGGGAACTGAACCTGGGATGTTAGCCTTGTAAGTCTGTAAACTTACCGCTGTTCTACTGAAGAACCACTCACAAGCTAAGGAGGTGATAAAAAAGTTACATTACCATAACATATTAGTGTAAACACTTCATTGAATATTATTTTACAAATAATATTATCCATATTAGAACCTGTATAGAAAGAATCATATTAATGAAGAATTTCTAGTTTTTATATGTAAATTAAAAATAAAACGCACATTGAATATTAGCAAACGTCATAAGTTTCACATTGCGCGTTCATTACACATGTACACAACTGAGATAATTCCATTTCAGAAGTCTTATTTAGTTTTTATTTTTATGCTTTTTCTGAAACTGCTTCAACAATTCGCTGATATGCCGAGGGGTGGGTTAATTCTATTGTAGTCCATACCCTGTTTCATGTGGTTTTTAACTTTATTTGCAGTATTGAAATTAAATTTTATCATGTCATTTTATCGCAACAGGTAAGGAATTTGTAATCGAAGAAATGGAATTAAACACTTTTTTCTTTTTCTTAATAAAATCAATGCAAAAAAATTTTTCATAAGTACTTGAATAGTACAGACACTGAATTAAATATACTTAATAAGTTAATTTTAGGCTTAGCTTTGAGTGATACTGATAGTCTACTTCGTGATATAAATTTTTACTTTCAAGTTTTAGTCCTAATTTCAATGTGAGTATTAAATCAACTTTTTTTTTTATGTCTGATAACGATTATTGTAGACAGATCCGCATAACTGAAAAAAAAATGATGTAATGATTGCTGTTTGATATTTTGTTGTACTTGTAGAGAGGCGTGATTGAAAATAAGGCCAATATTTTATTTGACAAGAGTTGAATTTAATCATGGTTTGGTGGGTTGCCTTTGACGATTCGTAAAACTTATGTTTATGTTGTAGAAACGTTTACAATAATTTTTTTAAAAATAACTTAAGAAGTTATATATCAACTATGCAAAAAACAGTATTAAATATGAGATTTAAATTATTATTTTTAACATAAACCCAGCTAACACTAACAGAGTTTTGAAATAACTAAACAGATTATTATGTAACATGCTACACCTGTCATAATCTATTCTATGAATGAGAAATATGAAGGTGGTCATTCTTCATATGATTTAGAATAAAAGACTTCATCTAGGATTTCTTTTATCATTATCAAAAGCCATTAACCAAATCCTAGAGTAGCCTTTTAGTCTTAACTAGATCAGCTTGAATCAGAGACACACTCGGTAAAATAACGTTATCAGCACAGACAAATTTAATTACCACCAGTAAAAAAAAATAACACTGATGCAGTGTTTGTTTATCAATTAACAAAATATTATGTTTAGAAATAACCAATTGATTCTCTTTTTGTTTTGTTTTTTTACTTCCTGTGTAGGTATAGAATAGAACCTACAATAATAAATCTTCAAAGAAATGTCTACACTAAAATTTTATTTTAATTATTCTGGAAAGTTTGATAATGAATCAAAATAAAAGAAATTGTAAATATAATAAATAATGTATGAATTTAAAGTTTACCAGTTATTAGTACACTAATTACAGTGATATTAATTTGAATAACTGTTATATGTATGTTTCTGCATATTCTCTGGCACTATTTGTTTAGGTTGAGTGAGTTCCAAAAAGTTTTAGAAACTGATCGAATTGACTTCCATCATGTGAGAAGACTTTGTTTTAATGGTGAGTGTTGGGTTTCAGAAAGTTTAAGAAACCTGATAGTTTTTCTGTGCTTGTATTTCATCATTCCTTCCTGATGAATGTGTTATACGATTTCACATCCAGAATAAGCTGCAGTTTCTGTCTTCATATTTCATAATAAAATTATTTAAGATTTATTCTCGGTCAATTTTAAACCATACAAATGGCTTCGAAGCTTTTAAATACAATTCTTAATTAGACCAAATCTTTTACATTTGTTAAAAATGTATACAGTTCTTAAGTTTTAATTCATTCACAAGAAACTTGTTTGAAAAGTGAATAAAATATAAAAAATAGTATCTTTTGATATCTAAATCTGCTTTTCTTAACCATTTGTATAAAAAGCATTCACAAAGAAATTATTCTATGCATACATCAGCATGTTTTATTCATATAAAATTTTTGCACATGTACAAAAAGTACTCTGAGAAATATTTTAAACGACCATGGTTGGTATACTAGTGTTACACAAATTTAGTTTAAGCTCACAGAAGTATATCACTGAATAGCTTGTAATCCCACTTCATACATCTTCAGGGTAGCTATAAGGTATGTCATCTGTATTCATTTTCTTTCAGGTATTCCAGATGATAGTGGATATCGTCCATTATGTTGGAAGGTAAGGAAATATATATATGCTTTTGTTCTTAGTGTTTCCTTTAATCGTGAGGTTGTATTCATTTCATATAACTTGTAGCAAAAAATATACTCGGTACTTTGAGAAGTGTATTTTACATTATTTAAAATGAAGAAGGAAGACTTTAAATAATAATGCAATAATTTCAATGTTTTTGTTTTTATCCAATAATAATGTCAGACTCAACAGTTATTGTCAGTATCCAAGACACCATTATGGTGTCTCCCCAACAAGTCGGCTCACATATGTCTGTCATCACTCTGCCTTTTGACCAATCAGTTTGAATTTTCTTGTGTGTGAAGAGGCATGAAGATGTTAAAAGTTTTATGGGGGAAAATAACTTTCTATCTTCTGCAATTAAACTACTAGTAAAGTTTAGGTTGTTGAGCCTTTCGAGAGTGATTACAGAAAACGGCAAATTTATTCTGCACCCACTTTTTTTTTCTCTGAGGTTATACTTTATACCTGTTACAGTGCTTACGTATAAGACAGGTCATCAATAG